CAGATGCTCAGATATATTCATCAATTAACACGGATTCCTCATTTTTCTGAACTGAATAAAACGTGCATTGAATTTAATGAAATGCAAACGTGAGACGTCATTTATGTTTGACCCATCAAAATGAATGCGGTCATTTATTTACAGAATCAAAGTTTAACATCAAACATTTACATTAATTTGGCAAATTATGAAAATAACAACATAAGCAATCAATCAGGAAAAATCATACGGCCATGATTTTTCCGTTGCTTCACCACAGACATTTATGAAACTGTACAATTATGATCTTTTACCCACACGGATGTGGATGAGCACTTTACACAGACATTTCTAAAATATCTGGAAGAATTTCTACTTGAGAGAAAAGTTTCAAGATGGGAAAGGAGTTAAAGAAGAGTAAAAGATGGGGTTTGAGGGAGTGTGTTAACAGAACGGCACTCTCTGGGCTTTCTTCAGCTTTTCTTACGGTACACTTCGGTGGTGAAATCGACTCTTTTACCTGGAGCTGTCTTCAGGCGAGATTCCGTTTAACGCACCCTTCAGCGTCTCCGTAGGATGCTGTTACTCCTCCGGAGTAGCGGCGAGACTGTCCGACACAAGCTCACCTCAGTGGAAAATGTTATAATCCCATGAACCTCGGAAGAGCTCTGTTGTCATGTCAGGATCTTCCCGTCTCCATCAGAACTGAACAGAACTGTCCAGAACCGTTCCAGCACCATCCCAGAGCTTCTACAGAACTTCTACAGAACCTCTAACAGAACTTCTAACAGAACTTCTAACAGAACTTCTAACAGAACCTCTAACAGAACTGAGTAGACCAGGAAGTACTGACATTTTAAAGAGCTGTTTCCCGGTTCACTCTTGGGAGTATCCCCATTGGCCAGAACCGACCAGACGGGGTGTGTTTTGTGACGTAAGAGGTTAGAAGACAGCAAGAATTGTTATGAAACAGATCAGAAATGTTCTCACAGACAGAGAGAGTTTTGTTTTGGCGCGTTTCAGAAACAGGTGCCAAAAACCTCTATATTTACGTCTGAGAGGATTCTAAAAACATGATAGTTCGTTCCAACAACTTGTTTTGCATTTGACTCCAACCTTGGACCAACTTACACTTGCTCATTCAAAAGCAGAAATCAGAAAAGGCATAATTACTCTGTAACAGCTTTGACATGAGTTCTAATTTTGCATGAGAATAAAAATCATTACACAGTTAATAAAATTGATTAGTTCACTGCAACATCTAAAATGGTTTGAACTAAGACATTTTGATTATCAACATTTGTAAAATAGTAATGATAATAAAAAAGAGAGTGTTCTTTCACATGAATCTTCAAGAAAGAAAGTCTCAGGATGGGTGAACCTGCATTTCTGGATTCAAATCAATAAAATGACAGTTCCTGTCCCACAAGGTTCTTAAGGTCAAGGGATTTGACCTTAGACTTAGTTTTTGACATGGGCCTAGTCCACTACAGGACTCTCTTTTTCACTTCTTCACCACGCTCCCCATTTTCCTGGACAGTGGACCCCAAGTACTTGAAGTCCTGCACCTTTGTGACCTCTGATCCTTGTAGCCTCACTGTTCCACCTGACTCCCTCTCATTCACACACATGTACTATGTCTTACTACGGCTAACTTTCATTCATCTTCTTTCAAGTGCATACCTCCACCTCTCCAAGTTCTCTTCAGAATCAGAATCAGAATAAACTTTATTGGCATTGCACCGAGATACAACACGAATATGTACGTACAGTCGTCCGAAGATGGGCAGAGTGCACAAAGCTGCGGCTATAAATAATTAGCGCGGCCTCTTATTCTTATTCAGAATAATATTTTGCTTAGGTGAGAAAAGGAAAGAAAACATGATGAGAGACGGTATAAAAAAGATCTCTCACGCCGTGTCCTAGACAGAGCACAATTTGAGGCATTAAAAAAACTTCCACATGTTCCCTGTTCTCACCAATGATCACAATGTCATCTGCAAACATCATAGTCCACGGGGATTCCTGCATGACCTCATCTGTTAGTCAGTCCATCACCAGAGCAAACAAGAAGGGGCTCAGAGCTGATCCTTGTTGCACTCCCACCTCCACCTTGAAGCCATCTGTCACTCCTACAGCAAATCTCACCACTGTCCTGCTGTCCTCATATGTCCTGTACCAGTCTAACATACTTCTCTGCCACTCCAGATTTCCTCATGCAATACCACACCTCCTCCCTCGGCACCCTGTCAGATGTTTTTTCTAAATCCACAAAGACACAATGGAGTTCTTTCTGACCCTCTCTGTACTTCATCAGCATCTTCAAAGCAAAGATGTCATCTGTGGTGCTCTTTCTTGGCATGAAATCATACTGCTGCTCACAGATAGTCACCTCTCGTCTAAATCTTGCTTCCACAACTCTCTCCCAGATCTTCATTATGTGGCTCATCAACTTAATTCCCCTGTAGTTGCTACAACTCTGTACATCACCATTGTTCTTAAAAATGGGCACCAGCACAATTCTTCTCCATTCCTCAGGAATTTTCTCACCCTCAAAAATGTCACTGAATATTTGAGTCAAAAACCTCCCTGCCATCTCTCCAAGACATTTCCTAACCTCAACTCTTACGTCATCAGGTCATACTGCCTTCCTCTTCTTCATTCTTGTGAATGGACAATATATACTGTATATATATATTCATGCAGAACCCAAAATTTAAATGTAGTCCTACAACCCTAGAAGCCAGAACACATGACTCTGTGTCTTTGTGTTCATTTTATAATGGCCTAGGAACTTCTTGAGCTCTGTTAGTTTGCACAGTATCCTGCAACCCTGAACTTTTTGGAGTAAAACAGGCAATGAACAAATGAGTCTCCATAAGATCTACGAGAAACAAATTTTAATACTGAAGCCCTTTTCAAAACTATTAGTTAGCTTTTGTAATTTTGTTAATTAAAATGTTGCTCTGGCCTTTTTAAAAATGTGTCTTCACTATGAATGTTCAGTATACAGCACTGTAAAAATGTCACTCCAATAGACTTTGGCTTTTGGATAAAAGAGCATAATTTCTTAACATATTTCATGCAAGTAGACAACCTCTGTATATGTTTATCTGTATATCTAATAAAAGTACAAAAAGCAACTAAATTTGTGTTTGATCAATTATTTCTTTGTTACAATGCTTCATGTCAATTTTATACTAGAAAACCTGTTTATCAGATGAAATTTGTTAGGATGCCCTCCAACGGTATGGGGCAGAGTTGGTGAGCTGCATGAGGAGGAGGTGCCAGGCTCGCTGTGTGTGGCTCTCCCACATGCCACTGAGGCCTGTTTGTTAAATAAATAGATTGTATGTCTTGTTTCTTACAGCTTCAATCATGCAGTTATTTAAATGACACCAAAAAAGAGTCACCAGCAAAAAAAGGTGTTTGGCATTGTCACTAGACTGCCTGAATTCTACACTTAAAATTTAGTCCAAGCAAGCTCAAGTTTGACCTAATCTGAACCCAGGATAAGTAGTTGACTTCAACACACTAAAAGCTGATCCTGAACGTAGTAAGATATTATTTCATCTTCTCTAAAAGCCTCTTTGGTCGATTTTAATTTTCACCCCCAAAACGAGACAAAGCATCTTAAACTAACTAACAAAGAGACTTGTTGCTTTCTAGTCCTGCAAAACTGAGAATTCACATGTGCTGAGGTAAATATAAAAAATAAAAAAACTGTTCCACTTCTTTGATGAAATGCCTCTTTTTCTGTGTGGGACGTCCTGGCTGAGGTCACCGGGCTAAATGAACACTGTCATAAAGGAATTAGTTGGCAAAAACAGTGCATCATTTGATGTTAGCTGACTCCTATAGCTGAACTGATAACATAAAATACTGATTACAAACCTGTTTACCATCAAATCAATCCCGATACTCATGTCACAGGCGTACAAACACAAAGAAACAAATACCGAGACACGTGGACACATTGCAGAGATTATGATGGTAGGTTGTTTCTCTTTCCCATTCTCCATCTTTCTGTCAAACACACAACACACACACACACTGACACACAAACATGAACACTGGAGCCTCGTAATTGCTGAGTGCTGGAACCCACTAACCACTGGCATGGTCCTGAGTGGTCATGCGATGGTGTGATCATTGAGGCCCAGTACGGAGGAACATTTTCCCTCAGAACCGAGGTCAGTTTTACAGATTTCTGTCTGTGCACGGAGGTTACAAAAGAGGATTTTAAACAGTCTGAACAGTCATGCAATAAATTACCACTTTCTTCATGGTTAGTCCAGACAAAGTAGTTTATTTTCTTCATACATGTTTTTTTTAAAACATATTTTCTTAGATTTTAGAGCACAAAGTTTCCATGCTGCCTTAACTTTATTTCTTTTTTGGTGACATTTTAGTGTTGAACTTGTGTTTGTGTCTGATGTTCTTTATGTTTCTCTGACTTTATAATGGAGGAAATGTCTGACACATTTTCAGAAAGGACAGCTTTCATCTTTATTAAACATTATGATATAAACTTATTCATTTATACAGAAAAAAAGTATGAAGCATCTTTTGGCCTGTGAAGGACATGTGAAAACTAATGTATCAATTATGAACATTTGCTTTAGCTTTACATGAAATGAGAAGAATTTTGATCATTCTTCTGAATTTGGTTCTCTGAACAGCAACAAAGCTTACACTTTGTGAGCAACAAAAAAACAAAAAGGGCAAAAAATGTTATCAAGTATTCCAGAATTCCATGTGAAGACCCAAATGTGGTGAACTGGAAGTTCAGGATCAAAACTCAAATTTCATAACTCAACAAACAGAAATTGAAAGCAGCATATGAAAACATGACCCCAAAAAGAGCAGCGAGCAGGATCAGACCACTGACTGAGAAACTAAGAAGTACACGGAGGGTGATCATGACTCACTGAGTTAAAAGAAGAGCCGCAGAGACCGGAGTGTTACTAACCACTTCAAGAAGTGTCTCCAGTATGATAAACATGTCAGAGGTGTTTATTTCAACATGTCGTTACACAGAAAGACATGACGGCCAAGAAGAGCAGCATCACCAGATGAAGGCCTTGTGTCTGCTGCGCCGCATTATAGTACTCGGCTACCTTCCTGTTGGGGTTTGGGCCTGTGAACCAGAGCTGCATGCAGCGGTTGGAGGTTTTGGAATAGGTGGTGTACTGGTAAGAGTTGGACCAGATTTGTTCACACATGGATTTGGATGTTGGGAAAACTTCGGTCCACTTTCTGCATTTACTGCCTTCAGGGCACTTATTAGTCTCTGAGAGGAAGACAGGAGGACAGAGACAAATCAATAATACAATTACAGTTAGTAATACATAATACAGATAATACAGCCTGGTATGTACTTGGTATTTATCATGTATGTATCATGAGAATACCCAGTACAGTGTTTTCTTGGTATTTAACTGCTGTTTACGAGGTACATTTGTGCTTTTTTGGTACATATATGGTACTTGTCAAGTTTGTACTGGTATTTATTCTTGACACACAGTGCATGCACATGGTATGTATCTGCTCCTTACCTGCACATATTTGATACACACCTTCTACAGTATTTACCTGGTACATATCTGTACATACATGTTTTGCTACCAGTCACTTTATTATACTGCCCGGTCCCCATAAGTAGCAGGTACATGCTTGATACAAATCAACTAAGTTCCCAGTAAGTACCAGGTAAACCCAGTGTTTCCTGTCATGTGCCGGGTTATATTCTGTAATGTTATATATATGTTAATTACAACTGATCCATCTTTATCAGATAAGTGAAAGACTTTCATATGTGCTTTTTGCTCAGAACATATTCGGTCTGTGGCTTTTATGTGTCTTACTTGAGGACCAGTCCCATCCTTTGTGCCAGTTTGACTTGCAGGTGAAAGAGTCTTTGCAGTCTTCCCACCATTGTTCACAGTCCTCCTTACAGATAGGCACATTCAAGATTCTCTCCTTTCTCCAGCTGCTGTCTGCCTAAAACATGCACACACAAAAGTGATAAGTTTTGAGAAAACCATTTTCCTCACATGTGCACTGTAATAGTCCATAAAATGAGCTTTTTCTTAATGAAAGTGTGGCAAAACATTCATAAAACTTTTAAAACTACTGGATGTGTGGACTCAGCAGCTCTGTCGTGCTGCCATCTAGTGTCACTGCCACACCTGTGCACCACATCACTTTTAGAGAATACACACTGGCTGTATCCAGGGTCCCAGGTGTGGTGAGCACTCGTAAAAGCACGTGTCCTGGATGAAATGTTTCTTGCACTCAGGGCTCATAACGCCACAGTGATTCCAGTTGAAGTTTTACAGGTACGAATTGTCTTCATGGGCCTCTGCAGTGGTGTTTGCAGTGCAACATGCATTGTCACGCCAGGGGGAACACTGGAAAGAAAAAAAAGATCATTAGCTACAGTTATAGAATTAAAAAAACACTTCAAAACTTGACCTATTCACATAATGAACATAAATGTATTAACACTTCTTCACATTATTACAGAAAACTCTTCACATCAAACTGAACAGAATCATAACAGCAGTCAGACCAAGTAACAGGGCTTCATTTGTAAACTGATCCATGCTGGAATGCAAATAGTGAGCAGGACGGTGTTGGGGGTGGGGGGTGTCTGGGGGCGGGTCCTCCTCCAGAAAATTTTGAATAGATGTGATTTCCTGCAATTTTGTATATTTTAACGGATTGTTAAACATCTATGTGCTTGTAAAAAACAAATATATATATATATATATATATACAGTATATGTTTTTTGTTTGGTGGACCCCCAAGCACTGACTCACAGACCCTTAGGGGTCCTGGGACCCCAGTTTGAGAACCACTGTATTAGACCAATTAAAGCACTGATTTGCTTTTTATTGCCAAAAGAATAAAAGGTGACTTTCTTCAATGTCAGACAGCTGCTTGGTGTGTTGTACACTCCTAGTCCACCTGAGCACACCTGTTCAGTGTCCCGAGGCAACTTGTGTTGTGACTTGGCGCTATATAAATAAACTGAACTGAATTGAACTGAATTGGGCAAAAGGTTCAGTGGATGTCTGTATTTCTCACCTGTTTGTAGAGTTCTCCCTCAGGACCAGGCTCCGTTTTTTGGTGTTTTGCATCCATGCACATGTTGAGTTTGTCCAGAGACAGAACACCGCTGGGGAGGGTGAGCAGCAAAGCCAGAAGCAGCTGCATGATTCTGCAGAGAACAGAAACTAAAATAAGTCTGGCACTCCCCTGACATTATCATTATCATTAAATGGTTGAACATAAAAATGGCTCTTTGAATGTACTATGAGTGAAACTTCCACTTTGTTGAATGAATGTCTATTAACTTTTAACCAGTTCTTTACTTGGCAATGTCTGGTTTTCTGATATGTGCTGATCCATTATCTTTACCCGCTTCTTCCTTTTGGGGTTGCGGGGGTCCAGTGCCGGCCCAAGCCTCCATGGGGCCCTAAGAAAAATTTGGTTTGGGGCCTTCTATTTTTGCTTATAATGTGCTTAACTGCAGTCAACAGTCAGATCAGATCATTCACCCACCTACCATAAACTTATTGCAACTCTAACAGCCCCGTTCACATTATCCTATGTGTATATATCATCTAGTGCAGGGGTCAAACTCATTGTCATTTTGGGCCACATCAGGCTCATGAATGTCCTCAAAAGGCCGGACGTGGCAGAGTGTATTGAAAAAAACTACCTATTAACAAACTAGTAAAATATAACTTTCTCTGCATTCGATGACTACTTCTAAAAATTAAATATTTTATGTTTGAGTAATTTGGCATTATAAACATGAAAACTGATTTGATTTGACTGATAAAGTGATGTTGAAGCACACAAGTGTTATCTTAAGTTCTGTCTCAGTGGCCCTCAAGGGCAGGGCTGTTCAACTGGAGGCCCGGAGGCCAAATCAGGCCCACGGGTGTGCTCAGTTCAGCCCACTAATGAGTTCATTTTTAAATAAAACAATTTTAAATTGTAAACCAACCTTACTAAATGACAATAACTGCTGGATGTCTGGCCCCTGAGCTCTTGGGTTTTAGTAACTGTGGCCCCCTGAGCAATGTAGTTGAACATCCCTGCTCTAGGGTGTAGAGAGCCACAGAAATAGTTATGGTGGGCCGGATTTGGCCCACTGGCCTTGAGTTTGACACATGCTATATTATTATAAATAATAATATTATTAAAAATATTATTGTAAAAAAAAAAATCACAACTTCATAATTATATGATGTGTAATAGAATCCTAGAAACCATCCATCCATTATCTTTACCCGCTTATTCCATTTTGGGTCACGGCGGTCGCCGGTGCCCATGTCCAACAATCACTGTGCGAGGGGCGGGGTACACCCTGGACGGGTCGCAAGTCCATCACAGGGACACATAGAGACAATCGAGACAAACAACCATTCACTCTCTCACTCACACCTAGAGACAATTTAGAGTTACCAATCAGTCTAACATGCATGTTTTTGGTCTGTGGAAGGAAACCGGAGTACCAGGAGAAAAACCACGCATGCACGGAGAGAACATGCAAACTCCACCCAGAAAGGCCCTGGGTTGAGATTCGACCCCGTGACCTTCTTGCTGAGAGGCAACAGCTCTACCAACTGAGCCACTGTGCAGCCTAATATGAGCTGATTAAAAATGTTCACATCATTCAGTCTTTCAGTTCGTGTGTTCAGTGGAATGTTTTACCAACATCATGCTTCGTTCCAACAAATATTTTATGTATTTATAATATGTAAACAGGTTTTTTTGGTCAGTTTTCTGCAGAAGCTCATATATGTCATATTCTGGAGTGGGAAGAGCGGCTGCTGACATAATCTGGGGTTGGAATGTCTTACAGATAAAATCATGCTGGAACAGGCAGGTCAGTGGAAAAGATGTTAAATACAATATTTATTACCTGCAAGTTCTCAAAGGCTTTGATGCTGTTATCAACCCTGATGTGTCAGATTGTCACCATGCAAGAAATGCACAAGTGGAAGTTGTCCTAAAGCACCACATTTATTGTGTAACTCTAAATAAATTTATTATGTCAAAAACTCAATCTTGTCGCCGGGATATTTTGTGTGCACTGCTTTGGTTTAGGAAAAATGTCCGTCACGTTTAACACAGAGTCATACAGATGAACTTCAAAAGCTGACTGCATTTTGTGTTTTCATTTTGTGCAATTTACAGAATTGTGATTCGCTTTGAACATTTGCTTGTATAAGACGATCACTGGAGGAACATAGAATACATTGTAACTAAATTGTTAATTATTATGATCTTTAATGGCCTTTGTTAAGTTTTTAATGCTGCAAAAAATTAGGTTTTACCAAAACGGAGCCAAAGTGGAGCCATCCATCCATTATCTTTACCCACTTATTCCATTTTGGGTCACGGGGGTCGCTGGTGCCCATGTCCAGCAATCACTGTGCGAAGGGCAGGGTACACCCTGGACAGGTCACAAGTCCATCACAGGACCACATAGAGACAAACGAGACAAACAACCATTCACTCTCTCACTCACACCTAGGGACAATTTAGAGTTACCAATCAGCCTAACATGCATGTTTTTGGTCTGTGGGAGGAAACCGGAGCACCCGGAGAAAACCCACGCATGCACAGAGAGAACATGCAAACTCCACCCAGAGGGCCCCTGGACCGGGGTTTGAACCAGGGACCTGCTAGCTGAGAGGCAGCAGCTCTACCAGTTGCGCCACTGTGCTGCCCCACCTTTGAATATATAATATTTTTAATTATTGAATCAGCTGTTGGTCAGGCTACTTCTTGTTGTGCCATTAGCTCTAAAATAGTTATTAAATCAAGTGTTTACTTCCATCCATCCACGGGGGTAGCAGCCTAAGTAGGGAGACCCAGACTTCCCTCTCCTCTTCCACTTGGGCCAGCTCCTCCAGGGGAATCCCAAGGTGTTCCAAGTGTTTACTTATGTAGGTAAAACTAGATATTAAACAACCATTAAAATATAACAGAATGCAGGAAATGGCATCTACTTTATTCAAAAATTTCTGGGGGAGGACCCCCAGACCTCCCCATCAGTGTGTGTCCCCCACACACACATTATAAATGCTTCTGACACCAGTGGCCAGCACGTTACTAAACAAGTACACATGTGGTGTCATGTGGTGTTCAAGGTGCGTTCAACTTAATTCAGTCTTGATGATTTGAGTCAATGAGCATTTGGAGTTTTATACATCAAAATGCACTTGATAGTTAGAATTTTAAGTATATTTACTGTATATTATGGTAATTTATTCTGTATTTTGCCAGATTATGGTGATTCTGGGGTCGTAATGATGGGGCTCTTGAAGATTGTTGCCCAGGGTACAGCGAAGTGTTAATCTGGCCCTGGCCACCATGCTGCGCCAGAGTGGAGCAATTTATTTAAATTTAAAGACTAAGAGGTGCGAACAAGTCTCTAACCAAACCATATGGACACAAGAAACTTCATGGTACTTTGAGAAAATACACACTGCTTCTGATCCATAATGGTTACACAGTATACAGTCTTGTTGAGCATGACACACACCTGACATCTGACCTGTAAAACGTCAGCTTCTTATTTGTACTTTGTAAGTCAAGTTTTTGTTAGAGCAGACAATGATTCTCTCATGATGTTTGAGGTCTTGCAAAGTCAGAAAAACAATAAACTGTTGATTATTTGATGTTCTGCTTTTAGCGATTATCAGAAGACAGTAACTGATAAAAAAATTACACATGTACCCCTCTAGGTCATGACCTTTTATTATTATTAACCTTTATTTAAGCAGGAAATCCCATTGAGATCACAGATCTCTTTTACAAGAGAGGCCTGGGCCTGAAGGCAGCTTAACAAGCATGTTTTTGGTCTGTGGAACCAAAACCCATGCAAGCACGAGAAGAACATGCAAACTCCACACAGAAAGACCCCAGGTCCAACCGGGGATTGAACCCAGGACCTTCCTGCTGTGATGCAACAGTACTAACCACTGAGCCGTGGTGCTGCCACGACCTCTGACCTCCTTAGGTCAGAGGCCAGGAAGATAAGGGAAGTGGATCTTCATACTAGAACTATACCACATAAAAAGTCTACTTAATATCACGACTGCTTCCATAGTTTTGCTGCAGGGCTGTGGTAGCTTGGTGGTCAGTGGTCCATCACCAGGTGGTCAGTCTTGTAACACTGAGATTGCAGGTACAAGCCCAGTTTATGTCAGGAAGTGCATCTGACATCAAACAAATTACCACATCTTTGAGTTTGCTCACTGCGGCGACCCCTGAAGAAAGGCAGCCGCTGAAAGAAACTTATCTTCCATTCTTTTGCTGTAACTTTTATTCTTAACCGAAGACCTTTAGCAACTCTTCTTTTGGCTTTTCCCTCTTCATGGGTCTCCACAGCGAGTCATCCTCCTCCACCACACTCTGTCCTCACTCCAACTACCTTGATGTCCTCTCTAACTGCATCTCTAACGTCCTTCTACCAATATACCCACTGTCCCTCCTCTGGACATGTCCAAATCGTCTCAGTCTGGTCTCTCTAACTTTATCTCCCAGTTGTTCAACCTGTGCTGTACCTCTGATGATCTCATTCCTAATCCCATCCATCCTTGTCACTCCTAAGGAGAACCTCAACATAAAAACAACTTATTTTCAGGAGATGGTAACGGTGATTATGAGTAATGATTTACAAGGAAAAACACGTGAGAGTAAAACGGGGACATCCAAGTGCTGCGGGTCGAGTCAAACCCGTGGAGTGTTATTTCTTTTTTTATCATCAGAGTGGTTCACTTTGTTCAAGCACATCTCAGGGAAATAAAGCTGTAGTTAAAGATGTTTATAAATTCATTCTTGTTTTAGTGTTCAGGTTCATGCAGAGCTGTAGCTCCATGTCTCTGGTTGTAAGTTCAGGTGTGACTCATTTTGATCAGATATCATGTTCACCAGTACTGAGTCTAACTCACGTCCTGATACTTGTGCAACATCTGTGGCTGATAAAAATTTAGACATAACAAATTGAGCCAACGCACAAGTCGTAAAGTGTTTTCACTCAACAATGAATCTGTTTTGGAGACGTTTTGACTAGTCACGCTTTCACTCCGAGTAACAATTCTCCTAAAAGGCTTCCATTAAAAAAAATCTAAAATGTCATGAGTGAAGCAGACAACACCAAGAGAAAATACGTAGCAGAAAAACTACAGAGACCAAGTCTGTCACAAGTTTTACAACTTGTAATTCTGTTTTTAAGAATAAATGCCACCATGAAGAAACTATCTTATTAAACAAGTACAAAACCATCATTTTAGAAACCTTGTAAAAAGAACTCTAAATTAAAACAGTCCAAATAAATCATGTTTTAGAACCTAAGACTCAACATTTCTTACTTTTATACTAAAATAGTTTGGTTGAAATGTACTTTACCGTGTTAAATCCCGAGATAGTTATGTCGTGAATAAATTGTTGGACAAATCTGTAGTTCCCGTTAACTTCACACACTTCTTAAGACCAATCAAGCATGACAGAACACACACACACAGATCTGTGAGAAGAGTGACTGAACACAAGGTTGGCCCTGAAGATCCTGCACCTGACACTAACACGCTGGTTTCCAAAGTCCGAAGTCTGTCGTGTGTGTGTGTGTGTGTGTGTGTGTGTGTGTGTGTGTGTGTGTGTGTG